TTAACAAGGAGGTGGAGGCACAAATGGCCACACGTAAACATCCCAAAGCCATAATTATCCACCTCGGGTCCAACGACCTGGTCGCGCCCAAATCAAGCGCTCTGTACCTTGAAATTTATACGTCCCTTCTCCGGATACAGCTAATCATCTGGTCAAACATACTGCCGAGGAGGCACTGGATGGGGGCACATTCTTACTCCACCATCGACAAGGCCAGGTCGACCCTCAACCGGCGTGTCGGCAACCAAGTTAGGGAGCTCGGAGGTATTCAGATTCACCACCCGGCCATCCGGGCCAAATATAGTGATATGTACATTTGGGATGGCGTCCATCTCTCCAATAAAGGTCAGCGACTCTTTGTCAACAATCTCTTGGCAGGTGTAAAGTTATTTTCGTAAATAACTTCCGCTTTTGGCCGGGTAAGGTCCTTACATCCAGTTTGGTTTTAGGTCTTGGTGGGCTATGCACGTTCGTGCTTTGGCATAGTACTTGTGGGCACCATTAATGTATGCTATATTTTACATGTCATTGACATCACCAAATTTATAGGCTCCTGCTCTTCAGTGGGAACCTTCCATCCCTCTACTCATCAGCGGTTGGGATTCAAACTTTTTGGCTTATTCAATTTCTGCCCGCTTTTCAACGGGACATGTATTATTTTCTTACCGCTGGCGAAACTGGTCGCCCATGGTTGCTGCTGCTGCTGGAAACTCAAGTTGCCCATTTAACTACCTCTGCTTAACTACCCACAAGTACTGCCTCACCTAGACCATGTAGACCTTTCACCAAACATATTCTTCTCTTATTTATTTGGCCTGCCTGGGCAACATGTCCTTTCAGGCCTTTCGGTGGGTGTGTGTTACAATAATCCAGCAATATTGGACACCAGAAATTGGCTTCACACATTCTACCCATGTGAGATCGAACCCGGGCCTTCGGCGTGACGAGCGAACACTTTAACCACTAGGCTACCCCACCGCCTCTTGTTTCAGATACTGACCTCCACAGATCGTCTATAAACTACAACCTCGCTCTCACAAAGAGTATCTGAAAATATCTTGGATGGTGTTGACCTGTTCCACAGGACCCCTTAGTGAAATTCATGCATATTCATCATGTTCATTGAGCAAAACACCCTTTGGGTTCGGTCCATGAATATGTATGAGTTTCGCTACTTGTGTCCGTACTGTGCATCTATTTCAAGCTTTGTTTGTTCAGATTGGTACATTAAAGGAATATTAGGAAGAGTGCTGGTAATGCCTATCAGTCAGTTCAAAGTGTTAATACCGTATTCACCCTGCCACACCACGCGCTCGGACCACCTGTTCAAAGCACAAATACAAATACCGTATTCGACGTAATAAGCGCCCCGCTCTAATAAGCATCCACGGCGACATTTGCTAATATATTGGCTAGTGAACAATCCCAATTAGCACCCTTCCGATTGATCAATGTACACAAGACTTATTTATTCGTGTATAATACGTGTGTTAAATGCATCCTTAAGTATGGGAAATTTAATTCTGCAAAATATATCTGTCGTGTATAAGACACACAAACTTTGCTTTTGTATCATTTCATGCTGTCGGCATAAACCACGAAATGTATGATCTTTCAACTCTTCCACCAAAATTATATTCTAATAAGAGCCCCTATTTCTAATTTTGGGAGCGCCCTGGGCGCTAATACGTCGACAGAGTTGAAAGATAAATTTCGTGGTTTATGCTGACGGCCTGACTGTTTATAGAAGCCAGATATATTTTTCCAGAATTGAATTGCCCATAATTAAGAGCGCATATAACACACGAGTGCGTATTATACACGAATAAATTGGTCTTGTGTACATTGATCAATCGGAAGGGGTGCTAAATGGGATTGTTCACTTGCCAATATATTAGCAAATATCGCCGTGGGCGCTTATTATGTCGAATACGGTATTTGATAAATGCGGATATGGGTTCTCATAGTATACAAATATCAAAAGCTGAAGATTCTCTATACAGAACATGCCTTGACACATCTTTATCACAGATAGAAGTAAGGCGACAACGGACATCATGTTTGATACATATTGTCAAAACCAAATGGTCATACTGCCACATATAACACTCAGGATGCAGGATGTATTTTATAAATTGGTTTAAGGAGGCAACAATTACTGATTTCTCTGAATAATGTTAACATTTTACGATTGTAAACTAAATCAAAATTTGACAATCAGTGCATTTGTTCTTAAAAATAGAACCAAGTCAACAAATATCTGTAATTAAAATACTTCCCGAGATTGATAGTGAAAGGGAAGTAACTCTTGTAAGAAACAAAACAATCTTATTCAATGTTTTTCGATTTCAGCCCTAAGTTTTGAGAGATTATTTTTAATTCCTATTTTCTCAAACCACCAAGACAATAGTTATGAAAAAATGTATCCATAAACCAATGCAAAAACAAACAATAAAGCATTAATATTTCAACTATGCAACAGAGTCTGTACAAAATACATTGAAATCATAAATGCAGCGAGTGAGTTGGGTTTAACGCCGCTTTTAACAGTATTCCAGTTATATCACGGCGTGTCAGCTTAAAGTGGGAGGAAAGCCCGAAGTGATGCAGGTCTAAGACGTTTACCACTTTGGTGAAACCCACGAGCACGGGTATGGTGTGACAAACCTAGAAACATAATCGGGGCGAACCGTGATTCGAACCCACAATCATAGGTTTCTGGCGTGCCCAAGAGACGCAACTCTGCACAGCGAATCGCAGCGCCTTAGAAGACTGGGCCACCCGTGCCCCCTCGTCAGTCGGATGTCTCTTGACCCCAACACTGTATATGAACTCTAAAAGTTGAAAATTTTTGATTATTATAAATAGTTTTGATGCTAATATTTTTCATAAACACGATAAAGAGACAGTGTTATTGAGTGATGTCATAAAGCTTTCATGTGAATATATATTGCATCGTCATTTCTTCTGGGTGATATGCATTATATTCCTCTGTGACACTTAATGTATCCCAGCCATGTGGATGTGACTCAATAACCAGCCAATATTTGACATGTGGACGGGTAGAAATCATCCTTTATGGTAGCTGCTCTTTATGAAAGCGAGTCTCTCCTCCAGGTTTCTACACATCTTCCCGAGGCAAGAGAGTTAACTGACTATTAAAGTCCAGTTTCCACCCTTGCCGAACTAGGCTGGTATTATGGCAATCGAAATCCGGTTCATAAACTGTCGTGCAGACTTCGATCGATTGCAGGAATTGCAAAGCATGTGCACCGCCAACTCGTTGTCAGCAGATATTTTCCAAATCTTTTCATGTTTTTAATCAAGGTGCACACGTGATTTCATGCATTTCGCGATGTAAGACCCGTTTTATCACAATATAGATATTGATTATCGATCAGATCGTCCTGACTGGGCGTCACCATTTTGTGTGAAGCAAACGCAAGTAATACGAGTGGTGGAATCTGATTGGTCCATAGGAGAGGCTTAGAAGGGACATAACTGGTAATAGCCACTGGTGCCGCTACGATCGAGCCCAGTAATTCCAGCCTAGTTCGGCAAGGGTGGAAACTGGACTTTTAAAGTCAGTTAATTCTCTTGCCTCGGGAAGATGGTTTCTACAGTGCTACAGAATGAGCTATATGTGAAATCTGCCCACAGATGTGAGTTTGATACTTCAAATTGTGATTTGCTTGTGTCGACATTGTTGTCTGGCTGGTACAACCTTAGAACTTTGTTGTTTTCTAAGACAAGTCCAGAGGACGAATGGGAACCTTATTCCACTTGTCCTCGAGACAAAAATCTTTTTACATTTTCTATCTATTATTTATTCATTTCCAATTTGTAGCAATTTGAAGCAATGAGAACGGGTTCAGAATTATAGCCCTCAAAGGCTAGTTAATGATGGCTACCCTCACTGGATTTTAACTTGTCTTCTGCACAATTTAGTAGTCTCGGCCTAGTGGACTAGCGTGAATATCAAAAGCTGGTGGTATTTCAAGATCATACCATATCACAGTTGGGTACATATAGCAGTTTACTATGAAATAATCAAATACCATATTCGACGTAATAAGCGCCCAGGGTGCTCTCAAAACTAGAAATAGGGGCTCTTTTTAGAATATTATTTTGGTGAAAAAAAAACAGAGTTGAAATATAAATGTTTATATTCGACAGATTTATTTTTCCAGAATTTACTTGACAATAATAAAGGTGCATATAACACACGAGTGCGTACTATATGCGAAGAGGAGTTGGAAGGGGTGCTAATGGGGATTGTTCACTAGCCAATATATAAGCAAATCTTGCCATGGGCTCTTATTAGAGCAGGGCGCTTATTACGTTGAATACGGTACACTGAAAATGCATGCTGAACTCTCGGTCAGAAGGGTTAGTTTGATTGGTTGTTGATTTCAAACTCACAAGACATATTCTTTTCTAAGTTGGTGATCTGAGAGATGATTTGGAGATGTCATGTCCAGAATGAACCTTGATTGGCATTCAAATGGAGAAATAATACACTGGAAAATCAGGGATGATGACGCTATTGGCTAACTTTTAAATGCCGTAGATATGTTTTTGTGGTTTGTTTGTTTGTTGTTTAACCCTGCACTCAGCAATATTCCAGCTCTATGACGGCGGTCTAAAAATAATCAAGTCTGGACAAGACGATCCAGTGATTGACATCATGACCATCGATCCACGCAATTGGGATACGATGCCATGCATCAACCAAGTCAGCGAGCCTGACCACCCGATCCCGTTGGTCACCTCTTACGATTAGCATAGTCGACTTGTTTTTTTTTATGGTAATCATGTTTACAAAAAACAAAAGGTAAAGATCTTTATGAGCACCACAAAGTGAGCATGTGAGAGAAATAAGGACTTTACACCACAACATTGCTCTCAAAGTAAATCACAATTTCCAACATGCAAATTGACACAAAAACCAAAATGTCTGACACGACTGCCACAACACATGCGTGCCGCTTGTTTCTCACTTTTTACATCCCGTGGCTTGAAGTCCACTGTACTGCAGATAGCTGGCCACGAAGTTGCGGAATATGCGACTAAAATCGTCGATTAGCGTGAAGTCCATTGATGCAAGATTGTCAGTCGTCTTGTGCCAGACAGTGGGGAACGGATACGAGATTAGATGAAGAACTGAGACACCTGCAAAAGAGATTATTAATTGTCATACAAATATTCCATCTGAATTATTTCTGTGAAAATTATATTTGTCACATGTCAACGGTGGGGGGTGAGCTGTGGTCCATGGTGAACAAAGCCAATTCACCTGTAAAATCATGTACCTTCTACCTGTGGTTGGTTGGTTAATTGTTTAACGCCACACTCAGCGTCTTTGACGGCGATCTGTAAATAATCAAATCTGGACCAGACAATCCAGTGATCGATATCATGAGCATTGATCCACCCAATTGGGATCGATGACATGCATCAACCAAGTCAGCGAGCCTGACCACCCGATCCTGTTAGTCGCCTCTTACGACAAGCATAGTCGCCTTTTACGGCAAGCATGGGTTGCTGAAGACCTATTCTACCCCGGGTCTTTCCACCTGTGACACATGTACCTATTAATACAGTCAACTCACATCAATGCATATATAACAGGTGATCCTGTGTCCAGCACACAGGTAAACATCAGGTGAAATCAAGCAATGTTGGTCGGGGATGATGATGATGATGATGATGTTGATGATGTTGATGTTGTTGTTTGTTGCTTAACGCCGCACTCAGCAATATTCCAGCTACATGACAGCGGTCAGAAAATAATTGAGTCTGGACCAGAAAATCCAGTGATTGATATCATGAGCATCGATCCACCCAATTGGGATACAATGACATGCATCAACCAAGTCAGCGAGCCTGACAACCCGATCCTGTTAGTCGCCTCTTACGACAAGCAAAGCGCCTTTTACGGTAAGCATGGTTTGCTGAAGACCTATTCTATCCCGGATCTTCAGGGAGGTCGAGGAAGGTAGTTGGATGGGTGAAGAACGACATTTTCAGAGAAATCAAGGATGGTTGCCAGTGGGCCATATAAAACTTACCGCTTTTAATAAAGCATCACCACATTACAGCTCAAGTTATCAAGCAGTATAAGAGATGGAACTATGTGAATAGTAATTCACAGTAAAAGCAAGAGGCAAAGAACTTCAACATAATACTCCCCATTTCCAAACACTGAAATGTTTGGCTTGAAGACTTTACAAACTTTTAATTAGCAGGACGAAATAATTTTTTACTTGTACATTTTCTAGGTCAAAATGTACGACTGCTATATACGACCGTCCATATTCAATTCAAAGCTAGTGGCCTGGACATAAACTATTTTGCAACAATCTCATGGAATTTGAATCAGTCATGGAAGAAAAACGTTACAAACTACTTTTCTTCCGGCAATGGTCTTTTTAGGATGACCTTGATGTGACCTTGATGTGACCTTGACGTGTCATGTTGACATGACTGAACAACGTGTCAAACATATTTCCCAGGAGACACATCCAAGTTGCCACTTGTTTGACTTTCATATTGTGAGGAAACAATATCCATCCCATTGACATAGCAGAGATCAACCTATGATTCCAAACTAAGTGCCCTTGGCAAGCAAATAGGGAAACAATTCACATTTTTTTAAAGAGAGAATTTTCATAAGTTTGTATGTTCTTCAATTCAGAGGTCTTTTGACATTGTATATTAACAAGGTCCAATGACAATAGTGTAAACCTAAACAATAAAGCCTCTACTAATTCATTGTCCTGTTATCATTGAAATACAAGTCATTAACATTACCATAACTATACAGTATGCATGGAATAAGTATAAACATCAAACTGAAACTTCATTATTTTGGGAATTTTACAGACATTTGTTGCAAGCCTGGGCTCAAATACTGGCCTCTAAGCAGCACTCATCACTGCATAGGTCTGCGTAAATATTAAATGCCACTTGTACACAGTCTGAAAAAATATTCCTTTCTTCAAATGTCATGAAAACAAAGTTATGACAAAGGCCAAATGTGAGACAATCTCTGACATTCTTCAAATCTGCCATACAAAATGTCAACCTAATTGTTTATCAATGCTTAGTGATATGATTTGATTTGACTTTATGAGAATGACGGCAGCTGACCTCTTGTCTGGAAAGGCACATGGTCGTCTTGCACGCCGGCAGTGAAGGCGGGCATGCTGGGGAACAGCTTGTGTTGGTATCCCCCTGATATCTGCTCCTGTCTCCGAAGCAGTTTCTGCTTCTCAAGAGCTTTCTCTGAAACAACAATGGCCACATTCGTCAAACCATTTGAAAACGATGGATATTTCAGATGTGGTACTTTGATCTTGCGCAATATCTTAATCATGTTAATGGTAAGATGAAGTGCTTCACGCCATGTTGCAGATCATTGCACGTATTAGGGCTGGGACGGGTAACTCGGGTACTCGGGCCGGATTGGTCCTGAGTAGGACCCGGGTACCCACAGGTCTACTCTGACAAAAACTCACTATAGCTCAGTGGTTACACTACAAGTTGCTAATGTTCGAATTTCTTTCTGACAATGCACACATTCCTTTTGACTTGTATATGTTTGAGTAAAGATAAAGCTTCAGTCAACTTCAGTGAATGCATGATCTGATTGTTTGACACATGTATCTAAATAGCTTTAGCCAGGGCTGCAGTAAAACAATTACCAATCAGACATTTTGTTCCCTACTCTTGAGACATGCAGTGGGTACCTGGTAGGGCTGGGAAAGTCCCGGGTACCCGCCCCCTTTTAACGGACCCTACCCAGGTACCCACTGTAGGTCTCAGGAGATGTCTCAAAACGTCCAATTGGAAACATTTTTAGCATAGCCCTAGCAAAACGTATTTAGATACACGTATTAAACAATCTGGTCATTCATACACTGAAGTTGAATTAAGTTACCGTATCCAACGTAATAAGCGCCCGGGGTGCTCTCAAAATTAGAAATAGGGGGCTCTTATTAGAATATAATTATGGTGAGACAAAAACAGAGTTGAAAAATTGTAAAATTCGCAGTTTATGCTGACAGCTTAAATGATACAAAAGAAAAGTATGTGCGTATCATACATGACAGATATATTTTCCCAAATTTAATTGCCCATAATTAAGGGTGCATATAACAGACATGTGCGTATTATACACGAATAAATAAGTCTTGTGTACATTGATCAATCGGAAGGGGTGCTAATTGGGATTGTTCACCAGCCAATATATTAGCAAATGTCACCATGGGCACTTATTAGAGCGGGGCGCTTATTACGTCGAATATGGTATATCTTTATTTAACCATATGAAAAATCAGAAGGAATGGGTGCAGAGTCAGAAAGAAATGCGAACATTAGTGACTTGTTATGTAACCCCTAATTTTTTTTAATAAACAATATATCACGTGACTAACCAGGGTCCGGGTAGTCCTGTGGGTACCCGGGTCCTACTCAGTACCCACCAGACCCGGGTACCCGAGTTACCCGTCCCAGCGCTAAAAGGCACACAATTAGCAGGTCACATAGTCTGGAGACATAATGCTGCAGGTCAATGTGGATTGACTCTGAGCTGACCAGCAGTGGCCAAAATAACTGCCTGCCCACCTGCCCATGGCTGGTAACTTTTCTGTTGGGCTGCATGAAATTTTCTTTCACCTGCCCAAGTCTCTCAGGTAATTTTAAGACCACCTACGTATTCACTTCTATGGTAACTCCTCATAGATAGTCAATTAATTGTTTGCAATATTTCAACTAAATTATTTGTCTCTTCTTTTTCTCATTGTTCAATATTTATAATGTCTGAGTGCGGGCAGGCAACTTTGCGGATGGGCAGGCAACATATATGGGTCACCTGTCCGACTGTCTTATTGAGTTTTAAAATTATTTCAAACACTGCTGACCAGTCCTTGAATTATCTCATGCAGAGTGTCAGGCAGGGTAACAACAAGTACCATCTTTAAATTAAACATCCTTTGGTATGAGGAGGCCTGCTGCCGAATCCCCGACAGAATGCTCTCTGCGTAGACGACGCTCTATACACTACACTACGGAGGTGGTCCATGTTAATAGATACAAAATTTCAACACATCTCTTTGTGAAACGGGCCCTGGTCTAGCCCATAATCTTCCATGGGAGACAATATTAGAAGTTGCATCTACAACGTTATTATTTCGTCAATCGGAGTGAGTAAGTGAGTTGGGTTTAACGCCGCTTTTAACAGTATTCCAGTTATATCACAGCGTGTCAGCTTAATGTGGGAGGAAAGCCCGAAGTGATGCAGGTCTCAGATGTTTACCACTTCGGTGAAACCCACGAGCACGGGTATGGTGCTGACAAACCTAGAAACATAATCGGGGCGAACCGGGACTCAAATCCACAATCATAGGTTTCTGGCGTGCCCAAGGGACGCAACTCTGCACAGCGAATCGCGGCACCTTAGACACAAGTGGGCCACCCGTGCCCCGAGAAGTCAAAGAACACCTGATTCTTTGACATTACTTTAGTTAATATGTCATGGTGTTCCTTAACTTCTTTTGAGTAGTATATATTCACATGTCAGCTTTTAGTAAGTTTAACATGAGAATAGTGAGATCAGTCAAGCAGTCACAAACTGCAAAATAATCCTCTCATTGAGTCTAGTTGAAAAGACATTTTCATAATCAATTTGATAAACTGATCAATAAAGAAATTACAAAACATCTCTCCACGATCAGGTGAGGTGAGGTGAGGTGAAATGGGGTTTAACGTCGCGTCCAAGATTATTGCACTTATATAGCGACGTGCATGCACGTGTGTGTGTGGCTGCTTGTACTAGTCCGGACCGATGCCGATTTATAGTGCTATCACACTGAGATACCATGCCTCAGTTTAACATGAATACCCCACTCAGACACAGTAGACTGACTCCGAGCCGACCAGTCCTTGTTTTATCCTTTTGGTATGACGCGGCCGGGGATCGAACCCCGGACCTTCCGCTCTCCGGGCGGATGCTCTACCGCTAGACCACGGAGGCGTCCCACGATCAGGCTTTATATAAATGATAAGGTAATGCTTGCATAAACATCTGAAATCACTCAGCAGTCAGGATTCAAGATCAACCATGTTTTTAAGGTAAAAGCTAATAGCATGTGTGACCGACAACCCACGTATTTAGATGAACATATTTGACTAGGATGCCAGTTGGATCGTGAACTGTTTCTTCAATGTCTTGACAACCTACACATTCTTTTGAAACAGATTTAAAGATAAAGGTTTGACTTTCATTAGAGACTGTCAATATAAAGACGAGGTATACGTACCTATTTTATTAAGCTGTGTATACAGATCGGAAGTTTCAGGAACAATATTTGCAAACTTGGTATCTGTGGTTCCAATCAGGTCTAACAGGACGAAGTCTGTCTGAAATGCCCAGAAAGATCAGGTTATTATCTCATTTTATAGCTAAAATGGAAAGAATTTTCATTAAAACGCCTGCTTGTTATCAAAAATGAGCGGGCCACTGTAACTTGATAATGCCCTCATATTACTTGACGACGGGCCATTATCACGCCTGTTGTTAGGTGACGTCATAGGAAAGGGATAGGTGATGTCACGTTCAATAGTGACGTCGTCTGGTTTGTTCTATTACGTGACATTCGTGTTGATTGCAGTAAATGTTTGAAAACCGATATTGTTGTTTCTTTTTATTTGATAACAAATTCCATCCATTTTAGCTATAATAACGGTAATGCTATTTTTCAGGGCATTATCATTTGCAGAAGCCCTCGGTCTTTTCAACTGCCTTCCTTCGTCGGGCAGTTAATGGAAGACCTCGGGCTTCTGCAAATGATAATGCCCTGAAAAATACTGGTACCCTCATTACAATCAGATTTTTTCCTCCATTAGACTAACCCTCTGCATGTAGTTTTGACATAACGTGAGCAAACTTTCCCCACCGAATCTAAATTAAGGAAGTGTGGGTTCCTGAGCCAATCAGATGTCAGTTTTCATAAATGATTCAGTTTTATTTCTTTACTGCCTCGAATAAAAATATTGATCTTAATAAAGAAAACCCATACAGAACAGAAATACTGCCTTGATAGTAAACCCACTTGTGTGTTGATGCCATGGCACTCAGAAATGACAGAGTGTCTTAAATAGCCACAACATAAACATAACAGTCAGAAGAGCCTTTATTGTTTTCCATTTGGAACTACCCATTCATTTTCTTTAAATATTCTGTAAATAATCGAGTCTGGACCAGACAATCCAGTGATTGATATCATAAGCATCAATCCGTGCAATTGGGATACAATGACAAGCATCAACCAAGTCAGCGAGCCTGACCATCGGAACCCGTTAGTCGCCTCTTGCGACAAGCCTAGTCGCCTTTTACGGCAAGCATGGGTTGCTGAAGACCTATTTTATCCCGGATCTTCATGGGTCGATTGCTAAGAAAGCTTTGTGGAACATGGTTACCATTTATCCTGTAATAATAATGGTATGATTACTTATCAACAGAGACCATTGTAGACATTGCTTGATAAATCAAATTCATCAGACCAATGTACGGATATTCTACTTACGATGGTATCAATATATTTGCGCGAGGGTGTGACAGGGTCTGACTTGTTCGCCCACACTTCAGCGAGGTGGCGGGATCCGTAGATGGAGTCTGTGTCCGTCCAGCTCACAAACGCTTCCTCGCCATCAAAAAATATCAACTGGACGGTTAAATTTTTAGCCTGCAATGAGAAAAAGGGAATGTAGAACTTGACTTCATGTACAATGTGATGTTCACTGAATTGGAATTATCACATGTTATCATGGTCATCAAGCGCAATTGTCTAGCTGTTACCTATCTTAGGTAATTGTCTATCATCACGATACCTATCTTAGGTAATTGTCTATCATCACGGAACCTATCTTAGGTAATTGTCTATCATTATGACACCTATCTTAGGTAATTGCCTATCATCATGACACCTATCTTAGGTAATTGCCTATCATCATGACACCTATCTTAGATAATTGTCTTTCATCACGACACCTATCTTAGGTAATTGTCTATCATCACGATACTTATCGTAGGTAATTGTCTATCATCACGATACCTATCGTAGGTAACTGACTCTCATCACTTCTCATCACGATACTTATCTTAGGTAATTGTCTATCATCATGATACCTATCTTAGGTAATTGTCTATCATCACGGTACCTATCTTAGGTAATTGTCTATCATCACGATACCTATCGTAGGTAACTGACTCTCATCACTTCTCATCACGATACTTATCTTAGGTAATTGTCTATCATCATGATACCTATCTTAGGTAATTGTCTATCATCACGGTACCTATCTTAGGTAATTGTCTATCATCATGACACCTATCTTAGGTAATTGCCTATCATCATGACACCTATCTTAGGTAATTGCCTATCATCATGACACCTATCTTAGGTAATTGTCTATCATCACGACACCTATCTTAGGTAATTGTCTATCATCACGATACTTATCGTAGGTAATTGTCTATCATCACGATACCTATCGTAGGTAACTGACTCTCATCACTTCTCATCACGATACTTATCATAGGTAATTGTCTATCATCATAATACCTATCTTAGGTAATTGTCTATCATCATAATACTTATCGTAGGTAATTGTCTATCATTATGACACCTATCTTAGGTAATTGCCTATCATCATGACACCTATCTTAGGTAATTGTCTATCATCACGACACCTATCTTAGGTAATTGTCTATCATCACGATACTTATCGTAGGTAATTGTCTATCATCACGATACCTATCGTAGGTAACTGACTCTCATCACTTCTCATCACGATACTTATCATAGGTAATTGTCTATCATCATAATACCTATCTTAGGTAATTGTCTATCATCACGGTACCTATCTTAGGTAATTGTCTATCATCACGATACTTATCGTAGGTAATTGTCTATCATCACGATACCTATCGTAGGTAACTGACTCTCATCACTTCTCATCACGATACTTATCATAGGTAATTGTCTATCATCATAATACCTATCTTAGGTAATTGTCTATCATCATAATACTTATCGTAGGTAATTGTCTATCATCATGACACCTATCTTAGGTAATTGTCTATCATCACCATACTTATTGTAGGTAATTGTCTATCATCACGATACTTATCGTAGGTAATTGTCTATCATCACGAGACCAATCGTAGGTAACTGTCTCTCATCACTTCTCATCACGATACTTATCGTAGGTAATTGTCTATCATCATAATACCTATCTTAGGTAATTGTCTATCATCATAATACCTATCGTAGGTAATTGTCTATCATCACGATACCTATCATACTATCACAGTTAATTGTCTACCCAGGCCTGACACCTACTTAAGCTAGCTTTCACATTATCATGAAACAAAATGTTCAATCTGACAGTAGGATACAGTAGGATACTGTCAGAGAAGACCATATTATCCAGTCATACAAGTAAAACACAAACGCACTGATTGCAACAAACACTTGTTAGCAGGGCCACATGGAATATACATTTAATACCAAAAGCCCACACATTAAGTATCGCGATATCGCTGATATGCATTGTATTTTGACTAAGCATCGCATGTATCGATACTTGAACATGTTGAATGAGGAGTTTCAAAGAATTGCCTGCAGTCATCCATTACTCCAGTGAACAATAGGTCTACACTCAACGCTCATCGTGTGCATGGTGGACAATGCCCGAGTCTGTCAACTCTCTGAAGGCTGACATTGTCAACATGGCCAGTTGATGATGGGCCATGTTTGTTTCCAGCTGATTACCGCCATTCGATGAACCAGGGGATCCTACATGTCCTGTCAGCTCGGAGGTCTTTGTGACAGGCTGTCAGCACAGCTACTGTTTTCATACAACTAATGTTTAACATGTAAGCGTGACAAGGGTCTTAAGTGATTTCTTAGAAAACCTAACATGAAGATTATCATTTTCTCATGCCAAAACAGTTAGCCGATCATTATGACATGTATGTATTTATTTCTGTTTGTTTGTTGTTTAATGCCGCATTACCAATAATCCAATGAAGGCGGTTTGTACATAATCAAGTCTGGACCAGACAATCCAGTGACTGACGTCATGATCATCGATCTATGCAATTTGGATACGATGACATGATTCAACCAAGTCAGTGAGCCTGACCACCTGATCACGTTAGTCACCTCTTATGTCAAGTATGGGTTGCTGAAGACCAATTCTTACCCAGATCTTCATGGGTCAGTGCCATGTAGTCTTCATATGTGTTAAAAGAAGTATTCATAATATGGTATGGAAATAGAATTAATGCAGTGACTCCTATAATCAGGAGTATAAGCATACCGGTATGTATGACGATAGTAACAGGGTCATGGGAGCATGGTGAGTTTAAAACACACCATCTGTAGCTAATCAGCAGCAAAACTAAATTTAAGAAAGTTCTCTACATCTTGTCCATATTGAAAAATTGAGAGATGGAGGAGATGGAGGAGAAGATGGAGAGAAGGAGAAGAGGAGGAGGAGATGGAGAGAAGGAGAAGACGCAGGAGGAGAAGTAGAAGGAAGAAGATGAGAAGAGAAGGGGAAGATGGAGGAGAAAGATGGAAAAAAGAAGATGGAGAGGAGAAGATTAAGGAGGAGAAAAGAAGATGAGAAGAGAAGGAGAAGATGGAGAAGAAGAGTGGGGAAGATGGAGAAGAAGAGAGGGGTAAGATGGAGAAGAAGAGAGGGGGAAGATGGAGGAGAAAGATGGAAGAAAAGGGGAGAAGATGTAGGAAGAGAAGATGGAGAAGAAGAGAAGGAGAAGATGGAGAAGAAGAGAAGGAGAAGATGGAGAAGAAGAGAAGATGGAAAAGGAGAATGAGGAAGAGAAGAAAGAAAAGGAGAGAAGGAGAAGGAGTAATCCAGTAGACATTGCATTGGACATAATCCGGACATTTCTGATAACAGGCCAAATTTGTGTTTAAACTCACCAGAGGGTGTTATTGGTCACCATAAAAAACCCAGAGAAAATCAAGGTTGGGGAAATATGTTTTATTTGGATGGTTCTGGGGGTGGGGTCTGTTGTTTTTTCTACACAGACCATGGACAAATATTGTTTGTGGTCTTCATTCTAGTCTGTGTTGTCATTTCTTAGGAATCCTACTTTGATCACATACAAAATATTTTTATTTATTTATCGCATAGTCAATGTCGGCCATCTTGAATTCAAGTGAATTAAAGTGATGATAATGATCTTGAGATATTTTCTTCATGTGTTTATCCTATACTACAGATGCCTCGGATATGAAGCACACAGTCCCTGCAGGTGTTAACATGGCACAGAAGCTGGTAGATTCAGCAAAGCTGATCTTGTGCATGTTGTAGTCACATGCTTGTTAAACCAGCTACTGCGTAAAACATGGTTAACAGTAAGGATGTCCGTCCAATGACATCATAACAAGAGCATATTCCTATTGATTAGGTACAGCTAATGTAAATATAGTGTGTTTTTTTTAAAATAACATTTTTCCCAAGAAAAGATAATTTTGTTTCAAGAATAATCCCCAAAATATATTGCTTACTGGACGTTCCGAAACAAAATAATATTAAATTATTTGGCTCCCTGTTTTTCAAAGAAAGAAATTACCCCTTCCCACCACCATCAACCACACTATATACCATTTTAGCAATTTCAAACATTTAGCATGTTCACTAAATACCATCCAGTAGGGCTGGGACGAGTCCAAATTTACTACCCGGGTACCCACCCCCCTATTACCCGACCCTACCCGGGTACCCACTGTAGGTCTCAGGAGATGTCTCAAAATGTCTGATTGGGAACATTTTTAGCATAGCCCTGGCAAAACATATTTAGATACATGTTTGGAACAATCTGGTCATTCATACACTGAAGCTGAATTAAGTTTTATCTTTATTCAACCATATGAAAAATCAGAAAGAATGGGTGCAGAGTCAGAAAGAAATGCGAACATTAGTGACTTGTAGTGTAACTAAAGAGTTCTATATAATAGTTTTCACTAAACAATATATCACATGACTAACCACGGGTCCGGAGGTTGCTGTGGGTACCCGGGTCCTTTTCAGTACCCACCGAACCCGGGTACCCAGGTTACCCGTCCCATCCCTACCATCCAGATTATGGGATCTATAAAACATAACATTCAACAGATGTCTTGTCCATGCATTGATCAAGGTAATGCTACAGACAGACTCACATCTCACTGATAGTGCACCCACACTCACACACCCGCTCCCTCTTCAAATTACAAAACACACAATTACAATCATTCCCAGAAATATCAAATATGATCAAGGTATTTTTAGAAACTTGATGTTTTAATTCAAAACATCCCAGGGAAATATTTATTAAAACATTCCTTCCACTTTTTCACACCTAATCAACAGGAAGAAACAAACAGATGAGAAAAGGACCGACAAACAGCTTGAACAGATCGAGTCTGACATTACTCGTAACGTTTAAGGGAGTAGGGCCCTTCTACTATGCTGGATCTGTGTTGTGGCCTGTAGGGATTGCTACTTACACCAGCTGACATTGAATCATCAAACATGAACCCACACCACCCAGTGATCAAACTGTCTTCCCCTAAGATTTGCTCATCAACACAGGAGAAGGTGAAGAGTCGTTTCTCTTCCTTCTACGTAAACATGGTAACTTGGACCAACCTTTTTTACAATCTTTTTTAAAGGGAAATGTTGATATATATATAAATCATGATAAATATACCATTGAACAGATGTGTTTTCTTTACTTGTCCTGGTCAATTAGCCAAGATGAAAAAAATATATACTCAACAAAAAAAGTTGGGGATCATGAATATTTTAGGGGTAATTTTTGGTAGTGAATGCCGAGCACACAATTTCATAAAAAAATATCCCCACAATTATTCATGATCAGTGTATAATAAATTCTGATTTGAGATCAAGCCTAAAATCCTAAAACAAGGCTCATAAAATATTCACAAAGCTACTAAAGTGAAAAAAAAAAATGTTTTGCTGGATTTAATAATCCACACAAAGCATAACGTAGATTTAAATACAAAATAACAAAACAACTGGAAAAGTACTAGTCTGGATTTGCTAGTTTTATCTCAGCGCTCAATACAAAATGTCCTTTACAGGAGGTAATTTGTAGGCACTTTCAACATTCAAAAAAAAAACTAAGTCCAAATTGACATGGCAGAAACAGGCTATAGGCATTATGCAAATTAGCCTGGAAAAAAGTTATCAAAACAGCAATAAAAATAACAGCTATGTTTATGTACATAATAATAATGACAAGTAACATGTAAAAAGACATAAAAGCCTTTGATACACTGTATTTGTGCCAAGGCCCAATTAGTACTAATTGAGTTGTTTGAATATTTATATATTTTGTATATCAACTGCATTTATTTAAAATCTGAGATCGAAAAAAGTTTTTTTTCATTTCCGTGAGTACTTGAGTACTACAGAGAAAGGTTGTCATAAGGTGCACATTTCCAACTTTAAAAATTATTTTGTTTGTTACTTCAGCTTTGAAGGGTAAGCCGGTCTGGACAACAAGCAAAATCCTGATCTGTCCTTAACCATGTTAACATCTGAGTGAGTGAGTGAGTGAGTTGGGTTTAACACCGCTTTTAACATCAATTCAGTTATATCACGGCGTGTCAGCTTAATGTGGGAGGAAAGCCCCATGCTAACATTTGAAGCATTTCCTTATAACAGTTGTGATCCAGGATTAGCTGGAATTAAAGAGTATAATGAAAATCTTGTTTACTCACTGAGGCTTTGGTTGGCTCCTTTTCAAGTAAACAGGAAAATTGTTTTGCCAAGTCCAATAAAATAGCACAAGGAACAGCCGAGTCTGTAGCACCAATAAATTCTGTCGTCTCAAAATACTTGGAGTCGAAATGGCAGGCAAGAACAAGTCTCTCTGGTGCATGAGGATTATATGTAGCAAAGATATTAGTAAACTCTTTGTCCCCCAAAGGTGTAGTATCTGTAAACCGGTCTTCCTCTATTGTCCATCCTAATGGGTTCAAGCGATTCTTTATATGCTGAAAGGTAAGACACATTATATTATAAGTGAGTGAGTGAGTTGGGTTTAACGCCGCTTTTAACAGTATTCCAGTTATATCACGGCGTGTCAGCTTAATGTGGGAGGAAAGCCCGAAGTGATGCAGGTCTCAGACGTTTACCACTTCGGTGAAACCCACGAGCACGGGTATGGTGCTGACAAACCTAGAAACATAATTGGGGCGAACCGGGATTCGAACCCACAATCATAGGTTTCAGGCGTGCCCAAGGGACGCAACTCTTCACAGCGAATCGTGGCGCTTTAGACGACTGGGCCATATATCATTAGTGGAAGTTGGAAATATTATCGTGATAATAATTATCAGACTCATGGGAAAAATAGGATACATTTAATTTGGTATATTTTGGATAAATAATATAAACAAATTGGAAGTGATTTCTTGGCATTTGATTATTGAACCAAGCAATTTGTTTTGTGTTTGAATAGCATAAAATAATTAGGCCTTGTCCTCCGAACACCGGATTCAACAGATAAAAAAAAAAAGACTCTCACTAAACAATCATATTCCATGATAGTTATACAATGAACTTAGATATTTGACCATCAACTTGGTGAACACTGATCTATGTAATAAGTTGTACATCAGACAGCATGTTGGAAGGTTGCACCAACCTGTTGCACTTTCTTGTTGGCGGTTGTTCCTGCAACCCGCTCTATCATGAACGGCATCAACTCCTGCTCTTTGAAACTGTTCATGTCTGACAACATCTCCGCCAGGACTGTCCGTGCTGACTCCTTCTGCCATTTTAGTGACCGTCTCTTCCGCTGGAAACACAAGAACCACTGCTAAACACCATCATATCACATACTGTCATTTCATTATTAATATCATACTACTAAAATAAGACCTGTGAAGATCCTGGGTAGAAAAGGTCTTCAGCAACATGTGAGCAATCCGTGCTTGCCGTAAAAGGCGACCATGCTTGTCGTAAGAGGCGACTAACGAGATCGGGTAGTCAGGCTCGCTGACTTGGTTTGATGCATGTTATCGTATCCCCATTGCGTGGATCGATGCTCATGACATCAATCCCTTGTCTGTCTGGTTCAGACTTGATTATTTACAGACCGCTGTCATAAAGCTGGAATATTTTGCTGAGTGCAGCGTTAAACAACAAACAAACAAACAAACAAACAAACAAACAAACAAACAACCACTAAAATAAAGTCATGGCATGACAGATTAACTATAGTAAAAATGTGTGTTGTTCTTAACTTTGTTTAAGTAGTATATATGTGGAAAACATGTCCCGCTTCAATGAGGGTATAGCAATATAATAATTATGTATAGCACTTTAAGTATGAAGCATTAGGACATCACACTAATTCGTAACATTATGACCACTCATAATTACCGTATTCGACGTAATAAGCGCCCAGAGTGCTCTCAAAATTAGAAATAGGGGGCTCTTATTAGAATATTATTTTTGTTAAAAAAAAACAGAATTGAAAGATAAATTTCGTGGTTTATGCTGACAGCCTGAAATGTTTATATACGACAGATATATTTTTCCACAATTTAATTGCCCATAATTAAGGTTACATATAACACACGAGTGCGTATTATACCCAAATAAATAAGTCTTGTGTACATTGATCAATCGGAAGGGGTGCTAATCAGGATTGTTCACTGGCCAATATATTAGCAAATATGGCCGTGGGCGCTTATTACAGCGGGGCGCTTATTACGTCGAATACGGTATGTCTATTGATTTTCTCCCCTGTGTTCACTTATATTTTACTGAAATGTTTTCTAAACATGCTGTTATTCTCAAGATTTGATAATGACAACAAACATTCATTCTGCTCTTTGCAGACAGTGCAAGTCGGCGAATGAAAGCTGCTTTCTGCAAGTCAGCAATATCTCAGCCACCTTATGGCAGCTGGTAAATAATTGAATAATTGAGCCTGGAAGAGACAAAAAGAGTTGGGTCTGTTTCAATGGAATGCAATGTACGTTTATGAGTTCCGACATAAGCATGAAAGTCTACATGGTCTAGCAGACTGTGTCTTACCCCTAATGTTAAAAGTTAAAGATGTAGGGGTTCAAACATGTTCTTATTTTATATACAGCATCACCGAGCACCTATTGCAGAGGTAGAAACAAACATTTTAAGTCCACTAGTCCTATTAGGCGCACCATACATTAAAGGGCAAGTTCACACGGAAATGAACCTAATTTTCTTGTACTTTTTCCACAATAAAAGTGTTAACCTAGAAGTGTCATAGACAAAAATATAAAAATATCACAATTAATTAACATATGTTTTGCATTAAAACGATTTATATTTTTCACATTTACCAAGTGTTCTATTTCCATAACAAAAATACCATGGCTTATGCCCCTTGCAATATGACGTCATTGGTGCCAATTGATAAACATTATGACGTCATCATGCTTTGTTAGAGCCGCTTCACGTGGTGTAGGTACAGGTGTGTGATTCTAGCGTCTCAGATGCCAGCCAGCATAGTGTTATGCTGAGTCACCACTGCGCCGGAGTGTGTCGTAGGCCACGTTGTTTTACCGAAAACTTGTACTTGATATCTTTTGCGTTCAGAATAGACAGGGACCCAGTTGAATTGGCACCAATTACGTCATAATCTAAGGGGGATAACTCAGGCCTGTTTAGCTCGAAAAACGAAGGCCTCATAACGGCATATCATTTTCACACTATTGTGAGCTACCTACTTTCACTGTGAAAAAAATGAGTGTATATTTTCAAACACAGATACTAACTAATTATAAAATTGCGTTTTGTTTAGAAAAAGAAAGAAAGTAATTTTTGCGTGTACACTTCCCCTTTAAGTAGTAGTATTATTAAGTACTACACCTACGGACCTTATTTTAGAACACTGCTAATATATCAGAACATGGTCAATTATGCCTGGATAGACACTGTTGGTCAAATACAAATACCACAGGTTATGGCGGATTAGTGGTTTCTGTAAAACAGTTAGATTTTGGTACAAAACTAGTCACTCTGGATTTTCACTAGTCTCGGACTAACGGTCTAGTGGCTCCATCCCTGCTATATGACATATATTTCACTGCAAGTTCATCTTCCTGAGGCAAGGGTGTTAACTGACAATGAAAGGCCAGTTTCCACCCTTGCCGAACTTGGCTAGATTTTCTGGGCTCAATTGTAGCGCCACCTGTGGCTATTTCAAGTTATGTCCCTTCTACATGTACTATGACCCTTCTACTGACCAATCAGATTCAACCTCTCATATCACTTGCATTTGCTTCAAACAAAATGGCAACGCCCAGTCAAGACGATCTGATCGATAATCGAAATGTATATTGTAATAAAACGGGTCTCGAGGTACATCAAATCACGTGAGCACCTTGATAAATAACATGAAATGATTTGGAAAATATCTGTTGACGCAGAGTTGGCAGTACACATGCTTTACAAATCCTGCAAGCAACCGAATTCTGTATGGCAGTTTACAAACCAGATGTTGACTTTGTTACGAGATATTGACTATGCATAGACTAGTTCGGGAAGGGTGGAAACTGGACTTTTATAGTCAGTAAAGTCCCCATCTTCCCTAGGCAAGAGAGTTAACTGACTATGAAAGTCCAGTTTCCACCCTTGCCGAACTAGGCTGGTATTATGGAGTTACATTTTGGCTGGACTAACGAGTCTATGCATAGTTCAATCAAAATCACGCACCGAAATCGAAATCCGGTTCGTAAAGTGTCATGCAGATTTCGGTCGACTGCAGGATTTGCAAAGCATGTCCACCGCTAACTCGTTGTCAACAGATATTTTCTATATCTTTTCATGTTTTTAATCAAGGTGCTCACGTGATTTGATGCATTTCGCGATGTAAGACCTGTTTTATCACAATATAGATATTGATTATCGATCAGATCGTCCTGACTGGGCGCCACCGTTTTGTTTGAAGCAAATGCAAGTGATATGAGAGGTTGAATCTGATTGGTCAATAGGAGAGGCATAGAAAGGACATAACTCGTAATAGCCACTGGTGGCGCTACGATCGAGCCAATGAATTCCAACCTAGTTCGGCAAGGGTGGAAACTGGACTTTTAAAGTCAGTTAACTCTTTTGCCTCGGGAAGATGTTAAGTCTCTTGCCTTGGGAAGATGCTGCAAGTTCGACTTTATATATACTACCCAACTTTTGATTCCGGGAGTGTCGAGGTGGAGTCTGAATGTGATTGCTTGGATATGTTGTTATACGACTAGTACCCGACATTGCTATGGAACAGAAGCATGGTTCATTTCATGTCAATGAAACATAAATACACAGTTCAATAAATAGTTGTCTTCACATTACGTAAGACAAGGGAGTATCTCAGCATCTCTATCAGATGTTGAGAAGTATATTAAACAACCATGGATACAGCTTTTTGGAAAAGAAGGAGAGTTTTTTGTGATCACAAGTTAATTAACAATTGTTAGACGAATGAGAAAACTGTGTCTGGTAGTCATGGTAGTAGTGTTATTGTTTGTTGAATGAGATGGTCGCCGCTTTTAACAGTATTCCCGTTATAACGCGGCGTGTCAGCTTAATGTGGGAGGAAAGCCCCAAGTGATGCAGGTGTCAGACGTTTACTGATTCTGTGAAACCCACGAGCACAGGTATGGTGCTGACAAACCTAGAAACATAGTTGGGGCGAACCAGGATTCAAACCCACAATCAAAGGATTCTGGAGTGCCCAAGGGAGGCAACTCTGCACAGCGAATCGTGGTGCCTCAGACAAATGGGCCACCCGTGCCCCCTATACACTTTAGGGCTGGGACAGGTAACTCGGGTCGGGTGGGTACTGAGTAGGACCCGGGTACCCACAGGGCAACCCGGACCCGTGGTTAGTCACATGCTATATTGTTTGAAGACAAAAAGTATCTAGAATTCTATGGTCACACTTCAAATCACTGTTTGCATTTCTTTCTGACTTAATAGACCAATTCCTTCTGACTTTAATATTTTTGTACAAAAATAAAACCTCAATCAACTTCAGTGTATGTATGACCAGATCGTTTTATACGTGTATAAAATAGATTTTGCAAGGGCTACGGTCAAACTTATCCCAATCAGACATTTTGTACCCAACTTTAGAGACTTACAGTGGGTACCTGGGTAAGGTCGGGTAATAGCAGGGTGGGTACCCGGGTAGTAAATTTGGACTCGTCCAAACCCTACTACCATGTACTACACTTAGTATAAATGATCACCCAAAAAGAAGTCAAACTGTAAAAAATTTATGCATGTTAAGTACATACTACCTAAAAGAAGTTAAAGCACATCAGAACCTTCATAGTATGATAATTTATATGTAACTAACTAAAGTAATCATGGTAGTATGAAAAAAATTGGTGTGTTTTTTTTCACATCTTTTGAGCAGTGTGTTTCAGCAGGGGTTGGGTGTGTGTGCACCCCTGCTGGAACCACACAAGTTGAAATACCTGTCAATACCCAAGTGTTATTATACACACCCCTCCTGGAATACCTGTCAATACCCGTCAATACACAAGCGTTATTATTCACACCCCTCCTGGAACCACACAAGTTGAAATACCTGTCAATACCCGTCAATACCCAAGTGTTATTATTCACACCCGTCCTGGAACCACACAAGTTGAAATACCTGTCAATACCAGTCAATACCCAAGTGTTATTATTCACCTCGGTCCTGGAACCACACAAGTTGAAATACCTGTCAATACCCATCAATACCCAAGTGTTATTATTCACACCCGTCCTGGAACCACACGTTTAAATACCTGAAAATACCCATCA